AAAAAAATAAAAATAAAAAAGCAATGATACTGAAGGAAGAAGTCCAACGTGCATTGAAGGAATTGGCAAAGACATGCACTGATGGAATACAAATTGAAATCTTTCAACAAATTAATGTAGTACTGGAGGCACTCACTCATCTCTGCCAAGAAATTTGGAAGACAGCTATCTGGCCAACTGATTGGAAGATATTCATATTTGTACCCATTTCAACGAGAGATGGTCCAATAGAATGTGGAACTCATGGGACAATATCATTAATATCACATGCAAGTAAAAATTTACTAAAGATAAACCAAAAACGGCTGCAACAGTACATTGACAGAGAATTTCCAGAAGTTCAAGCTGGATTCAGAAGAGGGCATGGAACAAAGGATATCACTGCTGATGTCCGATGGATCTTGGCAGTAAGTAGAGAATACCAGAAAGATGTTTATCTGTGCTTATTGACTACGCAAAGGCTTTGATTGTGTGGATCATGATGAGCTATGGACAATATTGTGAAGTATGAGTATTCTGGAACAGTTAATTGTGCTCATGAGGAAACTGTACATAGACCAAGAGGCAGTTGGTTGAAGTAAACAAGAGAACACCAAGTGGCTTAAAATTAGGAAATGTGTGTGCCAGAGTTGTATTCTTTCACCATACTTAGTTCAATCTGTATGCTGAGCAAAAAATCCGAGAAGCTTGATTATATGAAGAAAAACATGGCATCAGGACTGGAGGAAGACTCATTAGCAACCTGCCATATGCAGATAATACAATCATACTTGCTGAAAGTGAAGAGGACTTAAAATACTTGCTGATGAAGATCAAAGACCATAGCGTTTGGTATGGTTTGCACCTCAATGTAAAGAAAACAAAAATCCTCATCACTGCACCAATAAATAACATCAAGACAGATGGAGAAAAGACTGAAGTTTAATAAATAATTCATTTTGCTCAGATCAATCATTAGCACTCATGGAAGCAAAGTCAAGAAATTAAATGACATATTGCATTTGGGCAAATCTGCTGCACAAGACCTCTTTAAAGTGTTGACAAGCAAAGATGTCAGTTTGAGGACTACGGTGGGCCTGACCCAAGCCATGGTGTTTTCAATAATCTCATGTAAAATGTGAAAGTTGGACAGTTAAAAAAGAAGACCATAGTAGAAATGATGCATTTGAGTTATGGTGTTGGAGGAGAATATTAAACATACTTTTGTTGTTGTTAGGTGCCATTGAGTCGGTACCAGCCCACAACCCATAGCGACCTTATTTATGCACAGCAGAACAAAACACTGCCCGATCCTGGGCAACCTCACTACTGTTTCCATGCTTGAGTCCATTGATGCTGCCACTTGGCCAATCCGTCTCGTTGGGGGTCTTCCTCTTCTTCTCTGATACTTCCCCTTACCAAACATGATATCCTTCTCCAGCCACTGGTCCCTCCTGACAATATGTCTGAAGTATGAGAGACGAAGTTTGGCCATCTTGGCCTCTAAGGAGCACGCTGGCTGCACTTCTTCCAAAACTGATCTATTGGTTCTTTTGACAGCCCATGGCACTTTCAATATTCTTCTCAAACACCACAACTCAAAGGCATCAATTCTTCTACGGTCTTTCTTATTCACTGCCCAGCTTTCACATGCATATGAGGTTATTGAAAATACCATGGCTTGGGTCAGGCGCACCTTAGTCCTCAAGCTGACATCTTTGTTCTTCAACACTTTAACAAGGTCTTGTGCAGCAGATTTACCTAATGCAATATGTCGTTTGGTTTCTTGACTGCTGCTTCCGTGAATGTTGATAGTTGATCCAAGAAGAATGAAGTCCTGGGTTTCTTGTGATACAATAGTGAATAATTGATATCAGGACTGATTATGAGGGTTGGAAATGTAAAGGTAGACGTTTTATAGCAAGGAGGGGAGTGATTAACTTTTCAATCTAGGATCAGAGGTCCCGAGGACCATCAAGGGAGAAGAGCAGAGCAGGACCCTACCCGGAGAAGCAGTGATGCCTGAAATGGAGGCAGAGATAATGACGTGGAACGACGCAGCAGCTGGAGACTTTAGATCCACAGAGGGAGAGCGACTGTGTGCTGAAGACCTGGGGGGTACTGGGGAAGGATTGCATGGAGGGGATTGTAACCATGGCAATGAGACGATATACGCGATAGAATGAATGTAAAACTAATGTTCTCCCATGTAAACTATCACATAATTCACAATAAAACATTTAAGAAAAAAAATGAAGTCCTTGACAACCTCAATGTTTTTTCCGTTGATAAGATTGTTGTTTATTGGTCCAGTGGTGAGGATTTTTGTTTTCTTGACATTGAGATGTAATCCATACCGAAGGCTGTGCTCTTTGATCTATGAACTGCCAAAAGAACAAACAGATCTGTGTTGGAAGAAGTGCAACCAGAGTGCTCCTTGGAAGCCAGGATGGCCTGACTTTTCTCTCATAGTTTGGGGATATTGTCCAGAGGGACCAGTCTCTGGAGATGGATCTCATGTTTGGTAAGGTGGAGAGTGAGAAAGAAAGAAGAAGACCCCCAGCGAGATGGATTGGCAAAGTGGCAGCATCAATGGGCTCCAACAATAGTAAGCCAGGACCAGGCAGTGTTCATTCTATCGTACATAGAGTCACTATGAGTCGGTACCAACTCTATGCACCTAACAACAACAGTGGGCTGCCAAAAGAACAAACAGATCTGTGTTGGAAGATGTACAGCCAGAGTGCTCCTTGGAAGCCAAGATGGTGAGACTTTTCTCTCAAAGTTTGGACATACTGTCAGGAGGGACCTGTCCCTGGAAAAGTATATCATGTTTGGTAAAGTGGAGGGTCAGAGGAAAAAAGGAAGACACCCACCCCACTGAGGTGGACTGGCACAGTGGCAGCATCAATGGGCTCAGGTATACCAACACTTGTGAGGTTGGTCCAGGACTAGGCAGTTGTATTCTGTTGTGCAGAGGGTCGCTGAGTTGGTGCTGACTCGATGGCACCTAACAACAGACCACAGCCCCAGGAATCTCCCAAGATGGCATTAGGACCCTGACCCTAGCATGGGTGTTCCATTCCACCCTACTCGCCTTTCATCACATCAGGGCTGACCCCATCCGATCACATCTTGGCGATGGTTGCCAAACCACGGAGAACCATAGCCCAGCCTAGCCGACACTTGGAAGGGGGTGAAGGGAGGGTCAAAGTTCAAACCTCTGACACTAGTGGTCTTTCTAGCTGATTCCCAAATTTGGTATTAGTCTTGGGACTGGGTCTGAAATGACATCTCCTCTCATAACACTGTGTACTGAAGTGTATGTCAATGCAAATTGGCTCTAAGGTGCCCTGCTCCGCTCAAACCCTAAGGGCCACAGCTGAGTGAGAAGACGCTGACGGCTCATCCTCGGGGCGGATGGTGGGCGGGCCAGCGTGGTGAAACGACTCCGGAAACTTCACTGGACTCCAAGAAGCGTCAGTTTATAAGGCAAACGTGCTATTAGCCTTTGCACGGGGACGTCATAGCCGTCGGCTGCATTATTACGTAGGGCGCCCCTTTCTGACGTAAGAAGGCCGCGCTTGGACCAGAAAAAACGTAAACTCTGGAAGGCTCGCTCCTCAAATGCGGGGGAGGGAAGGACCGGGAAGAGCGAGGGCGCCTGCGCTCATGCGTGCGTGCGCGTGAGAGAGCGCGGCCTTGGAGAGCCGCCTGCTTCTTCTGTGTGGACGTGCGCGCGCCCGCACCTGTGCCTTCCAGCGGCGCGGCCGTAAAGAGGCGCGCTGGTGTCGTGAAAGGCCGCAGCCCGCCGAGCGTTGGTTGACGGCGCGGGTCCATTTTGTTGGCCGCTCCCGGGCTGTCGAGTCTCTTCTCCCCGCGGCTGCTCGCAGGCCACGAGTGTTCCCGGGCGGAAAGTTGTCCGGAGCGTGCGGAGCTCCGCCGCCCAGCCTCGCGCTCGGCCCTCGCGCGTCCCCAGCAGCGCTCGGCTCGGCGGCCCCGCAGCGGCAGCACGATGCGGCCCCTCGACGTGGTGGAGCTGGCGGAACCCGAGGAGGTGGAGGTGCTGGAGCCCGAGGAGGACTTCGAGCAGTTCCTGCTGCCGCTCATCCACGAGATGCGGGAGGACATCGCGGCTCTGGTCCGCGAGCGCGGCCGGGCCTACCTGCGGACCCGGGGCAAGCTGTGGGAGATGGACAATCTGCTGCTTCACCTCCAGACGCAGGTGGAGGCGTCCGAGCAGAGCGCGCTCAACCACCTGCAGAGCCCCGACGACGGCGCGGCCGCCGGGCCCGAGCGCGCCGCCGACAAGGCCCGGGAGACGGCCAAGATGGCCGAGATGCTGGTGGAGCTGGTGCGGCGGATCGAGCGCAGCCAGTCCGCCTGAGCCGCCCGGGCGCGGTGAGTGTGGGGCGCCCGGGGTGGCGTGGGGACGCAGCGGGGTGGTGTGGGTGGGCAGCGGCCTGTCGTGTCCCCCGGGCAGGGTTGTAAGCGGACAGGCCGTCCAGCGGGGCGTTGCTGGGAAGGGCCGAGCCCCGATGACCCGTGTCCCCCTGTGCTCTAGGTTTCCAGCCACGGGATCTGGTCTGCTGGTGGCGATTGGCTGACCCCGGAGAGCTGCTGTACCCCGTTTTGTTTTTCTTTCCCCCTCTGTCCACTTCAGTCTCACTCACACTACGTTTCTGCGGTGGTCTGCGGTTAACGACCTCAATAGGAGTTTGCATTGCTCGGTGTTTTTTGTTTGCGAGACGAGTTTTTCTTTGGGAAATGCGTTCATCGATGAATCGGGGCCTGGACGGCCAGCTCCTGGGCCTCGCGAGTGGCGGGCGCTCCCCGCGCGCCCTCGGCTGGAGCGTCTGCATCTGGGGACTTGGCTTTCTGTGTGAGACCAAAGTGGAGAGTTGTGTTGTGTTGTGTTGAGGGCACGTTCTCCGATGTCAGCTGCCCGCTGCTGGACGGGGCTCGGGGCGGACAGGGAGAGCAATGTTGGCAGAGGCCGGAGGCCCCGGACCCGCCACCATCAGCCAAGAGGCATCGTCCAGCTGCAAGTCCATTTGTGTCGCAGACCTGACAAGTATTTGAGGTCAACACCCTGCCACGTTTAAAAAGTTACAAAATGAAAACTTACTATGTTAATAAAAGTATTTGCTTGAAAAGACCAAACGGTGGTGATTCATTGAGCACTGTCCTGGCTTTATGTCGGCCGGGGGAGGGGAGGACTCCTGCCTTCAGGGAGCCCACGAACCCACCAGCAAAGGGCCCCCCCGGCGCTCACACTCCGGATACGGCCTCAGACTTCTTAGCAGGGTGGGGGAGGACACCCCCAGATCCCCTTCCCAGCCCCGATGGGTCACATCCCAGCGTCTCCCGGGGCCCCGTCTAGAGGCATGGCCCACCATGGGAGCCATTGGTCCCAGGCTATGACACGGGAACCTCCGGGACAGCTGAGGGGAGGTACACTTCAGACATTGTGTTAGGAGAAGGATATCATGTTTGGTAAGGTGGAGGGTCAGAGGAAGACCCTCAACGGGATGGATGGCCACAATAGTGAGGTTGGCCCAGGATTGGGCAGTGTTTTGTTCTGCTGTGCATAAGATCGCTATGAGTCGGTACCAACTCGATGGCCCCTGACAACAACGAGTATTGACTTGGGGCCTAGGTGTGGTGCAGTAGGATAAGACCTGGACCAGAAGGCTGGTTTGAACCACAAGGTCAGTGCTTTCAAACTTACCGGCCGCTCCTCAGAAACCCTGTAAAGGGTCACTACGAATTGGAACCAGTGGCGCCTTAATTTGAGTACATCTTCCAAAATCAATAGAAAATGTCACGTTTAGAAGTCCTGGGGAGGAGGAGGAGGTGGAAACAAAATGCTGTACATGGTACAGTTATCAAAATGTAAAAATTAACATTGGTAGTAAAGTCTTTGGCGCCCTGGTGTGGTGGTGTAGCACAAGCACTGGGCTGCTAACCACAGGGCCAGTGGTTCAAACCCACAAGCCACTCCTCAGGAGCCCGTTGACAACACACAATTCACTTTTAAAACTGGTGCTGTAGGATAAGCACTGGACTGCAAGGTAGGTTGGAACCACAGGGTCTTCAGTTCAAGCTCACCAGCTCCTACACAGGGTCGCTGTAAGTCAGAACCAACCAGATGCCACTTAAAACAATGCTTCGAAAGAGCACTGAGTTTATGAAGAATTAAAGGGCCCAGCTCCCAGCTGTTACCCACTTAGTAGCTTCTTGTCTAACAAACATTACATGGGTTTGAGCATTTGCTTGTATGAAATGATACCAGTTTTGGTTTTTTAACATAAATAGCACACCGTTTGTATTTACTTTTGAAGTTGGGTGCTAGAGAGTCAGTTCCAACTCATAGTGACCGTATGTAGGGTTTCCGAGGAGTGGCTGGTGACCTTGCAGTCCAGCGCATTAACCCACAGCACAACAGTGGAGCTCAGAATCATCCCAGTTGGAACAGCCACAAGAGATTCACACACCAGGAAACTGAATTGTCCTAAAGTCCTTGGTTCCTCTTACTCCGGCTTCTCAGCTCCTGAGATTGCTCCCAGCTGGCTAGCCATTGGCTTGCATTTTCTGGCAAAGACTGTGTCCTAAGGGTGGCTCTGAGAGACCTTCTTCCAGACTGTACAGTCATTGTCTGGCTTAGGATGTGTGTCCCTCAGGAGGCCAAGCTGCTGTGCAGAGGTCAGGTCATGGACGGCTAAAGAAAGGCTAATGCTGGGTGAATTCCTGGCACTGTGAAGGCCACTGTAAGCCTGGACTTCACTGCTCAGCATTACCATGTTTCAGGTGTGAAAAGTCCTTGTAGGTATCACCCACCCAAGGAGGAGGCAGGCAAGGTGCAGCAGACAGACAGTCTCTGATAAGACCGACAAGGTACATGCTGGTCCCGCCTGCTCAGAATGAGCCCCGGAGACTGCTGGCTGCCTTGCATCTGGGTGTTGGCACTGAGAAAGTTTCATCCTGGTAGACATCATGGTGGAGCTGACAGCAGCCAGGGCCATGGCCAACACAGGAGGGAAAAGGCGTTACCGGCTGGCTGTCCGCAGGTGCAGGGTGATGTGTGCCACTGACCGGCGCTCCTGACTCAGCCTCTGGATCTGGGGTTTTGGAGGCTGTCAGTCTATACAGGAGCAGAAGGCCTCAGCTTTCTCCCACACAGCGACTGGTAGATTCAAACTCCTGACCTTGCAGTTAGCAGCCCAGCTCGCTGCAGGGGAGGGGAGGGAGTGAAAACCTCAGGAGAGCAGGCTGTCTGCCTGGACACCGGAGGCCGGAGGACCAGCTGCCTAATGTCCACTCACCCGGCCTGCTCACTGTGTCATTAAGCCCACAACTGCCTCCTTCGGGCCTCGTTTTCTTGGTTCATAAATCAAAGGGGGCACAAGCTGGTCTCTCTCCTTGGTTCTTCCCAGCCCTGACATTCTGTTACATTTAAGTAAACTGTCCCAAGACACCTGAGCAGCCAAAGTTTTTCTGGGATAAAATGCTAAACGGAGTCTCCCCTTGGGGCACAAGACTGCATTGTAGGGTGGGCAACCACAGGATGGCCCCTTTTGGGTGGGTGGGGGCAAGTAACTGACTTCTAAGGAAAGGTAGTGTTTGACACACGCAAGCCAGAGCATCCCACGGGACCCCTCCCCCAAGCCCTGTCTTCCTTCCGGCACAGTGTCCAGCAACATTGCAGATGGGGTCATTGATGAGCCCCAGTCTGGTGCTAACAACCCCCCAATAATGAGCCAGGACTCAGTCATTTAATGCAGCCAGGATTTGCTTCAGTTGCTGCTCAAAATCTGTAAGCGAGTACCCTCAATAAGGAGTCCTGGTGTGGCACTGTGGGGAAAGCACAGGACCACAAGGTCAGCGGTTCAAACCCCCTAATCTCTCTTCAGAAACCCTATATCAGATTGCTATGAGTCAAAACCAACTCAACAGCATTAACGACCCGAGACAAAGAGGAAGGCTCCTAACGAGATGGACAGATGAGTGATCCCAGCAGTGAGCACAAACCCGACAATGAGGATGGTGCAGGCCTGGGTCACTGTGAGTCGGAGCTGACTCAACAGCCCTTAACAACAGCAACCCAAGAGCCTCACCAATGAGCTCAAATGTAACACCTGTGAGGGGGACACAGGCCCGGGCCGCTGTGACTCAGAACAAACTCAAAGGCACCTAACGACACCCACAACCTGGTTCATTATAGCTTCATCTTTTCTGATCTCCTCAAAGCTTTGTAAATGGCCAGGTCCTGGCCTGTGTCTCCATCCCTTTCTCCCTCCTTCGTAAATCTCCATTCCATGGCTCACAAAATCCTCACACTGTTGTTCCCAAAACCACCTAGATCACTCCGCTTCCCTGAGAAGGGTTCTGGACCACCGGTGACAGCTGAGACTGGGCTTCCCTGCAGCCTTGTAGGCGACAATCCCTAGCAGTCACTGGGGTCTCCACTCCGTCTGGAGTGGGCACAGAAGACGGGGACGGAGGCTCCTCGTGGACTGTGTTTGTGGCTGAGGGGTGAAGGAAAAGTCAAAAACAAGCAGGAGGGTACGTGTGACCAGGCCATTACTGCAACCACACACCTGTACGCCGAGCAAATCCCCGGCTGAAATGAAGAGCAGGAGAGCAACACAGGAAGTAGCTGGGAAGGTGGGTGGAGGTGTCAGAGCTGGAGACTAGATGGATGAAGAGGCAGCTGTACAGATGGGCCGTGTCAGGAGGACTGATTCTGTGATGTAGGAGGTGGAACAGGCTTGAGGCAAGAGCAAGGCCCAAGTCCCCTTGGCAGTGAGTGGAGCTCCCTGGATATGAAGCACCGAGGGCCTGGAAGGTGGGGGATTGGCGGCCTCATGAGCATCAGACATGGGCATGGATGATGGCAGGACTTGGGGAGGAGAGGCAGGCCGGGGACCAAAGTCTGTAATGAGTGACAGGAATCCAGTGAGGGTGGAAGAGGATGGCAGTGATATGGGGGGGACAGGGCAGTTGCACAGCCAGTAAGCATTGCAGACGAGGAGAAATTGACAAAGAAGAGGGCACGGAGTGGTGTGGAAATGGCCGAGGGGCGATGTGGATCCCAACTCTTAACTCAGCATGGAGTGCTTGGGGAGATAGATGGCTTTCCCTCCACACACCTGAGGAAGAAGGTGCACTGTCATCTCGGGTCAGTCCAGCAAGAGACAAGGTGGGCTGGAGGGTGCAGGTCAAGCTCATGCTGGCAGTGGTCCCCAGCTCCTCCAACCAACACTCACGGAAGCAGCAGTCAGGAAAGCAAACCTGTGGCAGAAGACAGCTTGGAAATGTGAAAACGCAAAGACGTCACTTCGAGGACTGAGGTGTGCCTGCCACCGGTCATGGTATCTTCAGTTG